TCTCTTCCTACGAGTTTTTTTCATGGTTTAAACCATGAATTTAATGGAGCATAAAACGTGTTGGATGACTCTGCTTCAATCTTGCAAGTAAATGGTACTGAGAATCTAGAACTTGACTCACTTTCCATTTGATTGTTTTTCTTCATCTTCAAATATCAACGTTTAAAACAGGGCCGATATGGATCACAACACAGTTATAATTAGCAAAGAGACCATGTAAAAGGAAGGGGACAATTTCAGAACTTTATTGCTCCCTTTGCTCTTCAATTTCATGCTAAATTGTACGTGTAATTTGGAATGAAAATTGTATTTGTCAGCTGAACTGGAAGCAGAGTTGTCATCAATAACTTTTAAAGATGAACGAATGCTAACGGACTACACCAGTACTATTAGCTTTTCCCTTCGTTTGATATTTTGTTTGGATGATAATATTGTGATTGTGTTTACAGAATAAATTCACTGCCCAATGATAGCTTCCTTACTGATTTAACTTTTAAAGATGGTAGCAAGGGGATATGGGACTTCACAGGTTGTTTCTTTATAGATGGTAGTATTTGAATCCGTAATCATAATTCATACTGCCATGTACTGTTGGATAGGCTGAATACTTAATTTCATTTTGTAACTCAGTCATCTTAACACAATCGACGTGTCTTTGTGTAACTGGTTTTGGTGATCATCCATTCTATGACTTGATTTATTATGGATAAAAAATGCAGGTTCTGGAGATGCACTGGATAATGGTTCGTGAGACCAAATGCTTGAAGAATCTTACCATCTCCAACAGTTCAGGTACAAAGTCTTCATTTTATGATGCGATAGTCTAACCCTTAACTGCTGTTGTTTTCCATTTGAACTTGATGTGTTCACATACGAAGCATTGCTCAAGAGATGCTGGAAGGGCAAAGTGCTTTAGCTATCACTAAAGAAACGAGTGCTCGAAACATTCCCAGAAACGGTTTCATCTATAACATATTAATTGACAGGCGAGATTCTCAGCAGATTGGTTCATTTGGATTTTGCTTCTCTTCTGACTAATTAATGGACGAGGATTATTTTCAGATGGGCTCGGGAGCTGATGTTTTTGTGTTTTCGTACTTGGTTCTTTTTATGGTTCTCGATTCTCTTGCCTCCCATCTCCAACAACTGCTTTGTACCTTGACAATGTTTCCTTTGGTGTTCCTTTAGTCCATGAATTGTAGTGGGATGGCTTTGAGGCTTTCCTTTATGGTAATTATGAAGTGGGTTGGCTGATTGATTTGTTATATTTTAGGAATGACAGAATTCCTAGGGAAGAGACCCATGTCATGTTCAGGATTGGAGCAACTTACCGTCATCTTAATTTACCATCACTTTAATGACCACCATATAATCATTCGACTGCAACTTAGTTCCTGCGGCGTTGCGTAGCCGCCGCAGGTATTGCTTCTAGTTTTCACTAAAACTGTAAAACAGGTCCCTGACAGAAAAATAAAAAATAGAAATTCTAGTTATTTCTTTTTTCCCTTTGGTTTGCTTCTTCTTCATCTTTCTCCTTCCCCCATCTCCCTCACAGGTTCCCTTCCTCTTCATCTTCAAAATCTCTGCTTAATTCCTTAGCAAGGCCATAGAACTCATCCAATGCCTTGCCCAGACGGCCATGGCTTTCCCTCATCAACCGCTGACGAAGCTCTGTCCTCTCAGCAACCAATTTCAAACGCTCCATTTCTGCTCTCTCCCCGCTCCAGAGCAGCTTGATCCTCCTTCCGCCCGATCCTCTCTTCCTCCAGAGCTGCCTTCAACTGGTCCCGCTCCGTAGCACAGCTCACGAGTCGCCCCACCGCATCTCGAACCTGCGCCTCGAGGCCGGAGGATCGCTCCTGCGCCATCTTCAGCTGCTCGGTTAAGTCCTGGCCTCCATCCGCGCCTTCCTGTTGGCCTCTGCCCACAAGTAGAAAAGAATGGAAACTCGGTGAGGGTCAGAGCACAAGGAAGTAATGACAAAGGGAAAGAAGAGGAAGAAGAAGAAGAAGACTTACTCTTTCTGTTTGTGGTCTGTGTAGACGCCATGTTTCCTATCTTTAGCTTTTACGAAATACACTCTGTTTTGCTTCTCTATCAGAACAGAGCTATTTGCAGGACATTGTGACAAGCAGAGAACACACCAGTGCGATATATAGCGGAGAAAGGAAGACTGGCTGGAGAATGCTCGAGACTCAAAAGCACTGAAATGAAAGGTTTCTGAGAAGCCCAAGAAAGAACCGTTCGGATTCGGCAGAGACCCGATCGACCAGAAACAGGGCATTCAAGATTTCAATGTCCCGCCCGGCGAGCTCGACGAGTAAAGATTGGGGTACGCTCTTTTGGGTTATATCTAGAATTTGTAATAAATATTGGAACAGAACCCTTGACAGAAAATACAGTGAACCTCTCCTGTAAGTTGTACCCTTGACAGAAAATATTGGAACAGTATGAGGTAACGAAGCAATGCCACTCATAAATCGCGCTGCCATAAGGAAAAACAGAACATAAGGAATGTACAAGGCTACAAAAAGGCCAAAAACAAGATGGCCAAAAGGAGAGAGGAAAGTTGCAACTTCAAAAAAATCAAGCCATGATCACATTGAGAAAGCAGACTGACTGCATTAGCTTTCTTCCCACCCTCACATCCCTAAGTCTCTCCATTGCCTCAAAAGCTGGTGTTCCTTCAAAGACACAATCATTAGCCTTTACCCTGTGAGCTCCTTCAATTGCTGCCAAAGAATTTGAGAGTACCGCAAGATGAAATCAGGAGCTATCCAGAAAGTTAGGGGATGATGATTCCAGAAAGACTTTACCTTTTCCAACTTCTGAGTATGATTGTTTTCTAATTGCTTTCGAAAGCAATTAGTAAACAAATTCATTTTGTGGGTGACCTTACGTAAGCTGAATGGCTTTGCAAAATCGATAGAGAAGTTTTAAGACCGAGATGATTGGAAACACACTTCATGCTTGGTGGCACGTTGAAATGCCAGTTGCCAACAGTGCAAGTATGCGTAGAACAGAGGAATGGTGGGATATCGGCATTCCACAACACTTTGAGGAGACACGGATCTCTGAAAGCAGAAGATGTCTCCATCCTGCTGCTGCAATAACAACATTGAAATCGACCATGTAGGTGATGTGAGCATGCTATTCACGGGGTTTATATATAGTACTGATCTCAAGCCATGGATTGGATGATGGATGGTCTATGAGAATGATGCACGTGTTACCCCCAACATGTCCAAAAGGTACTTGCTTGTCCACGGGTTCGATCATCAATTCGGATTCAGAATGAAGTTCCTGCAGATATACCAAATTTTGCAATTCATTCCAGCCATCACCACGAAAAGCTATGTGCTGCAGGTGAAGTATGCAGAAGTTGAAGCACAATGTACATGGGAAGAACATCACCAGCCATCTCATTCAATTTCGTCAAAATGTCGGCTGGCTTACTACTTCCTTTCACAAATAGTCTTCCAACATAACTAAAAAGGCCAAGAAGGAAGAAACATCACCACAATTTCATGGCTTTATCATCGGTGACTACAACTACTACTACTTCGACCAAAAAAAAAGAAAAACTACTACTACTATAACTAGAACACTGTAGTCTGTAAGTACCGTAGCTCTTCATTTTCTGGCTCATAAACCTTCACAAAGTGGAGTATATCTCCTTGCAGCTTCTCGGGTGGGGGAACGGGTTGTAGATTCTGATGAACCAAACATTCGAAAGATTTGAATCTTGAATGAGATGCGATTGAGATTGTTCAGCACGGAGGGGGAAAAAGCTTACCCCATCTCTTTCAACTTCCAAGAATAAGTACAGCTTTGCATTATCGATCCGGAGACTTTCTGCCACACATTGTTGAAGCTCTATCACCTGCAGCACAACACTAAGTTATCTCTTTAAAAGAACAAGTTACAACTTTACTGTTTGGTAGAGTCACGTCTTAACACTGTTTTTCTTTGCCACATTTTTACTGCGTTCTCGTCTGTAATCATTGCTTACCTCTCTCTTTCCTCTCTGCTTTTAGCCTGGGTTGCTTCGCCAGCGACTTCTCTTCTCTCTGCAACTTATCGGTTTTCGGAACTCCTCACCTTTCCCCTGGAAATGACAGGTCTGGCGCTTCCTCATCTGTTCCTTTCCCCACAAAAGTCTTGTTTGCTTTGCTACCTTTCATTTGTGCTTCTTACAGACTTTTCCTCTTCTAGCTTGCTTGCTCGCTTGCTTTCTTCTATTGCTCTTCCATGGTGACCCATAAATTGCTTCTTGACCTCAGCGACTCCGATGGCCCTCAGACTCTTCTGAAGCTGCGCCTCCTAAATGCGTGGGGGTCTTATGGCCTCAAGAATCCTACATTAATCTTCAACTACTGCACTCTTTGGAATGATGAGGAGGTCAGCGCTGCTTTCCTTTTTATTTTGCCACGTAATCTTGCGCCTCCCTTCTTTTTACAGCCCTCTGATGTTCGTTTCTTTTCTGGCCAGGGTACTTTGATTCAGGGCACGGCTCCTTCGGAACTCACGCGCCATTTCTCTCCGCTTCTGCAGTTGGGTAGCGTTTACTTCGTGAGCAATTTTCGCGTCAAGCCACCGGCCCCTTCGTATCGTTCTTGCTCTCATAAGTTGACCATCATCCTCTCTGCCGCTACACAGTTCGAAGACGTGACCCGTTCGTCACCTTCATTCTGGCCGGATGCGTTCGAATTTACCCCTTCAGCTCGCTTCATTCCCGCATACGTTCATCGGTTTATCTAACAGGTCTTGTACTGTATTCTTTACGTCTCTTGCTGTCCGTTCTGCAGTGTACTGCTTACCATCCTTTCCTTTCTTCTCTTGCTTGTGCCTCTGTCAGATGTCGTTGGCGCTGTTGTTAGCATAACAGGCGTTTCTAGCACTGTAACTTCATTCGGTACCACTGTGCGGAGTGATTTGGTGCTTCAGAATGAAAAGTATGTTACAGATGCACACCACTGCTTTATCGACTGTAATACATTTGTTACTTACTTTCGTTGCTTTTTTGCCAGTCACATGTTTCTTGATATCAGTCTGTGGAGTGATATAGCTCGGAATCTCAATGGTCAGGAACTGGCTGTCCTTGGTCGTTCTGGGCCAGTTATGCTTGCTGTTTGCTCACTTCGAGTCACTGGCGCTACGAAAGGTCTGCATGTACCTTACCGCCGCACTATTCTCCCTTTCATTTCCCTTCCTCTTTTCCTTATTACCTTTACCCCTTTGTAGGAGGTTACTCTCTTACCAGTACTCCAGGCACACGTTGTGTTCTCAACCCTGTTTCTGAAATGGCTCACCTGGTCCAATCTGTGTATGTCTTTTCTTATCCTCCTCATATTTGTTTTTCCCTTTGCATCATCAGCTGTATTTTTGGTTACTGCTAATTTGTTGCGTTCCTTGCTTTCGCTTTCGTTAGGTTCTTTGCCAGCACTAATACATGTCAATATTACCCTCCGAGGTTTGCAACTCCTAATGAGGCAGCGGCCTTCGAAGCTGAATGTACGAAGACTGTGTCACAACTACTTGCCTTGTGTTTTCCACCTGTTGCCGATGTATGCTTTTTCCCATTTTGCTCTCCAGCTTACCTGCTTCTGTTCCTTTCACTTCATTTGTTTGTCCGTCTAATCATTTCTTTCGTTTACTTTTTTTTAGTCTACGCGTTACCATTGCTCTGGTCGGATTGTTTCGGTTGATTCTTCTATGCAGTGGTACTACTTGGGTTGTGCGCTTTGTTCCAAAGCAGCCATAGATTATGATGGTGTTGACAAATGGTGTGATGACCACCGTCGTTTGGTGCCTCAACAAACACAGAACTTGTAATTCCTTTCTTCATTCTTGCCCCCATACCTTTTACCTTTTCTCGTGTCCTCAGATGCTCCTGTACACGTTTTTTGCAGTTACAAACTTCGGGTAACAGTTGATGACAACACTGGATCAGCAGCTTTTGTTCTGCTGGGTAGGGCCGCTGACCTTCTTGTGGGCTTGACTGCTAACGATCTCTCTACTAGGTTTCCTTACCAACGCAATGTTCTTCCACAAGAACTTCTGGCTCTTGAAGGGCGAGACTTTACTTTTGACGTCCAGCTTCCAAAACCGGAATATGGGGCTCGTGGCCCGCCAGAATTCACGGTCCTTGCTGTCAATGAGCAAGAACAGCCAAATTCCTGCTCACCAACTCTTGGTCGCCGGGCAAGAAATGCTATGCCCCATACACCACCTCCTAACAGGTTGTTTTAATGTTCTTCAGTTTGTGGTGCAGTTTCCTTTTGTTCATTACTAATTGCTGCTTTCCGTTGCAGTCCTCACTTGATGCCTCTTACTTCTCCATATGTTGTTCCAACAATGCAGAACGCTTCGGTAGAGCATGGTTCTTCTGTTGCTTCACCAAGGTTATGCTTCAATTTTACATGTCCTCTTTTCTCTGGTTGTTGCTTGTCTTTAACTCGGGTTCCTTCTTAAATTTGCAGTGGGAGTTCTCAGCTTGCATTTTCTACTCCTCCACGTCGCCCCTATAGCAGGTTGTTTTTACAATCCACTTTGCTTTACAAAATTAACAAGCGCTTCTTTGGACGCTGTCGTACTCTTTCCCTATGTGTTGACATTTCTTTTCCATGCGTTGTTTACCATCAATTTCCAGTAGGCGCATCGCTGCTGTATCCTCGCCCTCATCTGCTGCATTGGGAAGGTTGTCTGTTTGTTGTCTGCTTTGCTAGCTTAGTGCTGCTTATACACGTTCTGATGTCGTTTCCTGACATGTTTCTTTTCAACAACAGTTCTGTAGCTTCTTCTCCTGAACTTGGTCGTACTGAGATTGTTTCCTATGCGCGGTCAGTTTCTTGCCTTTTCCTGTGTTACCTCAATCGTTCGCCTTTACGCCTGCTAATATTTGTCAATGACTCTTGCACACCCGTTTTAACTGCTTCTTAGCCCTAGAAGTGAGGAAGTGCCCCCAGAAACTGCAACACAGCGATCCCCACAGTACCTTTCCTCCTGTTAACTTACTTACTAGCTTTACGTGTCTCTTTCTTTCCTTGCTGAGCATCTCTGTATCAGGGAACTTGCTTCGGACACTACAGAAGCTACTGTGCAGAACAAGAACATTAGTTCGCAGAAAGCGAAGCCGAAGAAACCATCTGCTAAGAAGAAGTCTCTCTGCCCTTTATTACTTGCTATGTTTCTTGTACCAAATTTACATATCCTACATTAGGTCTTATTTCCTGTTTAACTTGCTTCTGTTTGCATACTGGCAATTTACTTGGTTTTTGTGCACCCTTCGTTTTACATGTGGCCTGCTTCCTACCCATTCCCCATTGTTATTTCGTTTTACCACTTATTTGGTTGTTAACTGTGCATACGCCACTATTGCCTCTTGGAATTCTTTTACTTATCATAGTATCCTGCATTGTACTTCGATTTACTGTCCTTACCTTATACAACTTTGTTGGACTTTTGCAGGAAAACTGGAGGTGCAGGTGCTGCGCGTCGTCCTGCAGTTACTCTTGAAGAAACCGATGTTCCGATATCGTCCCTTCAGATCCCTGTTGGACATCCTTTGCCAACCGAATCGGCGAATCCTGACTCTGGAAATCTTAATGCCCTCGGTGTCAATTTGCAGACAACAACAATTCAGCCTTTGTCACAGTATGTGTCGTTCTAATTCTTTGCTTGCCAGTGTTGTCTGCTCCCTAGGATTCCAGTTTGCATGCTTTTGGTGCTCTTCTAAACCTGATCAAAAAAGGTTTCCAGTCTGCACAGAATACTTATTTTGACGCAAAAAATTGCAAACAATGCTTTACAATTAAGTTGGTCTTCTGCTTTTATACATGGTTTTAAGTCGTTACCATAAAATACAATAGCCGATGGATGGCCTTTTGTATCCCTTTCTTCGCCCTTCGCTAACTTACACGTGTTCTCAATGTGCAGACATACAATGTTACCTTTCAGTGGCCATACTAATTATCTACGAATGTTCTACCTTTTTTGTTTATACAGAACAAAAAAAACAAAATAGTTGTGGCTTCTGCTTACTTGGTCAGCTTCAAATCAATTTTTTTCTACAGTTGAAGTAATAATCGTCTTTACTTTAGGGAGATTCCTTGTGCAGTTTGTTCTTTGTTGTTAGTCATTATCTTATTCGTGCTTTGCAAGTTGCTCCCGCATTGCATAGGAATGTGCATGTTCTTTCATATAGATGTGTGTTTTACAGACCTACTTCCTTTGTCTCCTTTTCTAGGCAACCTGTGTCTATAAATCCTGCACCTGTACGTCGCCGTCGCTTGGTTGTTTCTTCTGATGAAGACGAACCTGTTGTCCCTTTGGAACTGCAAGACTTGGACGTTGAACTTCCACTGCAAGAACAGGCTATTGAAAACTCTTCGACTTGTCCTGTTCCTACCGTTGACTCTACTTTGCCTTCTCCTCTTCTTGCTGGCCAAGAAGTTCCGCTACTTCCAGTGGGGAAAACTAATCCTGGGAGGGCAAAGCGAATTAGGACACCGTCTGCAAAGGCCATTGAAGCATCTGTGGATGCCTCCAAGAGGAAGCCAAAAACTCCCAAATCGTCTGCTAAGGAACCTGCTAAGAAGCAACTGTTTGCTGATTGACCGTGATTCGCATCATGCGAGTGCTAATGTAACATGCTTGTGCAGTGCTGTCCCTCCCTTTCTTTTGTATAACTTTTAAAGGGAAACACTCTTTAGTGAGTAGTGCACTATGTACTTTTGCCTTTTGTGTCTACATTTGCAGCCCTTGCCAAACTTGTGGTTTTCCATTACTGGCACCACTTCTACCAATCTGGTCTGCTATGACATTTGACTTGTATTAGTTACCTCTTGGTCCAGGTTACCCCTTGCGTACCTGCTTTCTAACCAGCTCTATGTCGTTAATATAAAGCGACATTTTGGCATGCCCTTCTTTAAGTGGCATAGTAGTGCGCCACTCTGCAACTGAACTTTATTTTGTGCTAAGGAACTGTTGTACTTTGTATCATCATTTGTTGGGTGGAATTTTGCCGTTTAGCCCGCATTCGCATCGCACTTGTATCTACTTCGTTAGTCACTTGTTTTGCTCTTTATTCGCAGGTGGCCACTGTCTGTTGTAAATGGCCACTTTGAGGACCAAATTGTGCACACCCTTTTCGATGGCAGGGTATTTAGGTGGTGTCTACCAGCCACACAGTAACTAGATATTTAGATTGTCCACTAATACCATGACTTTGTTTACTAGCTTCCATAGACCCAAATTATAAACTTATTTTCTTCTATTAATTGCCATCATGCATTTATTGTTCTGACTACCTGTTCACTAATGATGGCTTTATTACTTCTCACTTCTCTAGACTAGCCTGCTATGGTGCATGTTGTATTATTATACTTTTTCTTAAGAAGGATATTTCCCCCTGGAAACACCGTTTACCTGTAGACTGTCTTCTTCCATAACTGCTTTCCCATTACTGCTTCTTTTTGCTTATTCTGTCTTTGCTGTTGGTCATTGAATGAATTCTCTGCTACATCTGCTATACTATTACCTGGTATCTGCCTTCCTCTGCAAATCTGCCAGTGTCTTTATTCCACTGTACCCGTTTAGAAGGCGTGACATGGTTAGTTTGGTCAATTTATTACTTTTATCTTACTACATTTACCATTGTGTTCCTATACCATGCTACGCTTGTGCCATAGTTCCCAGGTCCTGTTTTTTCCCTAACGTCAGTGTGTGCTCTCAGGCCACTCCCAGACAGGCTGCACTCCTGCTACCCGGTCGTTCAGCGAATAGGAAGCGTCGTCATATTGGTGTTTCCACTGAATTTGTACCTACCACGCCTCCTTCGAGAAGTTCTGTGAGGCGTCGTGTGTGCAACTTTGATAGACGGGGACGCTTGCACCCACTGCTTGACTCAGAAGGTGAACTTGACTCATCCGAACTTGACTTAAGAACTCCTGAAGACTTAACAGCCAGCTCGCAAACTCATCCTCCTGTTGCGTTGGATGGTCATTGTTCGTTGCCTGATGTGCCTCTACCACCTTCACAACAAGCAGAATTCAGTCGAGTTATCGATCATGGTTTTCCTGACTGTGAATGCCAATACTGTGGTGCACGGTTCTGGTATGAAGAGCGGCTTAACAGGCATGCATCTCTTACTCCTGTTTTCACGCTTTGTTGTCAAAAGGGTCGAATACGCCTCCCATTCCTACAGGAAACTCCTCAGTACCTTGAAGACCTCTTGGGTGTTAATGGCGGTCCTATGGCAGCGCACTTCAGGGAACATATACGCTCCTATAATGCTGCGTTTTCTTTCACATCTTTTGGAGCACGCCTTGATCCGAGAGTTACACGATCACGAGGACCTTATTCGTTTGTGATATGCGGAGAAAATTATCATCGAATGGGATCTCTGCTTCCTGCTGCAGGTCAGAGACCTAAATATTCTCAGCTATACGTCTTTGACCCGCAGACCGAATTAGCAGATCGACTCTCCAATTTCTCTTCTGCTGAAAGGTCCTGCGTCCTGATATTGTTTCTGGTTTAATGAAGCTGTTTGACGTGACAAATGAATTAGTTAAGTCTTTTAGACGAATTCGATCTGAATTGAATGATCCAGCATCAATCAATTTAAGACTGCGTATTGTTGGTGCAAGGGACACAACATCTCGACAGTATGAACTTCCAACTGGTTCAGAATTGGCTGGACTCATTCCTGGTGATTTCTTGCCTGATAAGGAAGAACGAGACATCATTATCGATCATCGGTCAGAGGGCCTGAAGAGGATCACAAGTGTACACCCGAAGTTTGATGCTTTGCATTTTCCGGTTCTTTTCCCATACGGAGAAGATGGATTCCATGTAACCATACCGTATGATCCTGTTCATACTCCCAAAACATTGAAAAGGAAACATGTGACTCAGAGAGAGTACTATGCTTACCGGCTTCAGCACAGAGACGACGAAGGTCAGACATTGATGCGAGGTGGGAAGGCACTTCAACATTACGTGGTTGATGCATATTCCACAATTGAACAAAACCGACTCTATTATTTGCGATCGCATCAAGAAAACCTCCGTTCTGAACTATACTATGGCCTTACAGATGCTTTCAACAGAGGTGATGTTACAGGAGATGCTGTTGGCCATGTTGTTCTGCCATCATCGCATACTGGAAGTCCTAGGTACATGAAGCAACTATACTTAGATGCAATGGCTGTTGTCCACCATCATGGCAGCCCCGACCTATTCATAACCTTTACGTGCAACTCCCAGTGGCCAGAAATAACAGAATCTTTCCGCGCTGTCTGTGGTGCACGCAGCGAACTAAAACCAGAGATTGTTGCTAGGGTCTTTCGCATGAAACTGAATGCACTGGAAGATGAATTAACACGAGGCCATTTTTTTGGTCAAACAGTGGCAGGTTTGTTCGGTTGCCTTCTGTCTTACTTCCTTTTACAATTGCCTGTTATCAATTCTCCTTTTCCTGTCACTCTAACTTCCTCATTACCTCATGTTTTGTGATCTAGCATAAATGACACATTTCATTGCCTTATAATTCCAGGTATCAAAACCGTCGAGTTTCAGAAACGGGGTTTGCCCCATGTTCATATACTTTTATGGTTGGATGCAAAGAATAAGCTACGACAAGCTTCTGATATTGATGCAACTGTTAGTGCTGAACTGCCAGATCCATTACTAGATCCAATTGGGTATGATGCTGTGACAAAGTTTATGCTGCATGGTCCGTGTGGTCAAGATAATCCGACCAATGTTTGCATGAAAGAAGGATCGTGTTCAAAGTATTTTCCAAAACCGTTTAATTCAGAAACTACAACGGACCAGTTTGGCTATACAGTCTATCGCCGTCGCGATACAGGTATAACAGCAGTGAAAGGTACAGCTATACTAGACAACCGGTTTATCGTTCCATATAATCGGAATTTACTTGTGCTGTTTCAAGCTCATATCAATGTCGAGGTCTGTCATCAAGGCCGCTTGATTAAATATTTGTTTAAGTACATTACAAAAGGGCCTGATAGATCCATGGTTCTTGCTGAAACTGCTGGCTTGTCTGTATCTGATTCTGCTACCCCAAACCATATCCCTCCATTGGACGAAATTAAACAGTTTCTTGATTGTAGAAGTCTGTCTTCATATGAGGCAGCGTGGCGGATCTTTGAATTCCCTGTTCATGAACGAACACCGCCGGTTCAGCGGTTGTGCGTTCATCTTGAAGGGAGACATTATGTTCCTTATAGGAAGAAACAACGGCTGTCTCGAATACTTGCCCGCGATTCTGTTTCAGAGACAACATTGACACAATGGTTTTACCTTAACCAACGAGATCCAACTGCAAGGGATCTACTTTATGCCGAGACTCCGAATCGTTATATATGGAATGTGAAAACAAAAAAATGGGCTCCGCGGAAAAGAGGGTTCTCAATTGGAAGAATTGTCTATATCCATCCAGGTTGTGGTGATACATTTTATCTCAGACAACTTCTTACCAAAGTTCGTGGGTCAGTTAGTTATGCAGATCTTCGACAGTCCATGGATTCCCATGTAGAAACATACCAAGATGCGTGCCAGCGCCTTGTCTTTTGTCTAATGATGATGAATGGTTACTTGTGATTAAAGAAGTCAGCCAATGGGGCATGTGCCGCTTGTTACGATACCTCTTTGTGTCCATGCTGATGTTCTGTGAACTATCAAACCCACTGCAGCTTTTCAATCAGACATGGGAATTGCTTTGCGAAGACATCACATATAGGTGCCAACGAGACGTTTGCTTCAACAACAACCTCATACCACCTGAATTGCCCAAAAATAAATTGTTGTGGGAATTGCAGCACATGTTACATGCTTATTCAGCCACGTTATCTCATTTTAACCTTCCTTGCCAACAGATGATCACCCACAAACTGATCCCTTGCTTCAGTTTGGAACTGATTCACATCCTGGTACTTTAGCTGCTGTGGATTCCCCACCTCCTGTAGTTGGTGATCTTAACAGAAAGCAACTTGAAGCTTTTCATTGTGTAATGGAATCTGTTATGTCTCCAACAGAAGACTCGCCTACATTCTACTTTCTGTATGGTCATGGAGGAACAGGCAAGACTTTTCTCTACAAAACTATTCTTGCGCAACTTAAAGAAGCTGGAAAAATAGTTTGGTTGTTGCTTCTTCAGGAATTGCAGCAACATTACTTCCTGATGCAAGTACAGCTCACTCTCGGTTTAAAATACCACTGGAAATCGATCATGGTTCTTCATGTAATATCAAGAAAGGTACGCCATTGGCTCAATTGATCATTAATGCATCGCTTATAATATGGGATGAAGCCCCAATGGTTCACAGATTGTCTTTTGAGGCAGTAAACAGAGCTTTTTGTGATATTATGGATGTTCCGTTTGGTGGTGCACACTATAAACCGTTTGGTGCAAAGTTGTTCTTCTTGGAGGCGATTTTCGTCAAACGCTTCCAATAGTAGCTGATGCTGGCAGAGAAGAGAGTATTGATTCATCTCTTACCTGTTCCTTTTTGTGGCAACATTGCACTGTGTTGCACTTAACTGAAAATATGCGGGTGCTTGCTTCCCGGGAGAGTCAAAGGTCAACTTTTGGTGGCATGCCCTTTAACGAATGGACTCTTGCTGTGGGAAATGGGAATGTGCCAGGAAAATCATTTCCTTCTAACCAATCTACTGATTGGATAGAGATTCCGGAGATCATTACTGCTTCCTTCTTCAGGAAATCCCATCCATACGATTACGTCTACAGTCTATCCTGACTTTGCTCAACGGTTCCATAATGTATCGTACCTCACTGAAAGATCCATTATCACACCGACCAATGCAAATGTCACAGAGATCAATTCTCATATGTTAGCTCTGATTCCGGGAATGCCACGCACATATTTTAGTGGTGACAGTCTTCATACAGATGCAAGCGATCCAGACCGACTCGAAGCTGAATATCCACTGAATTCCTTAATTCCTTGTCCTTCAATGGCTGCCCTGAACATCAGATTGATCTCAAGGTATTTGCTCCAATTATGCTGTTGAGGAATCTAAACCCATCCATTGGTCTTTGTAATGGTACACGCTTAATGGTGCTCTATTTGGGCCATTATGTGATAAAAGGAATGATAATGGGGGGTACATTCAATGGTAAGACTGTGGCAATTCCAAGAATTGTCCTTAGTGTCAATGATTATCGTTGGCCATTTGTTCTTAAGCGCCGGCAGTTTCCAGTACGATTGTGCTACGCCATGACAATCAACAAAAGCCAGGGCCAGACATTGCAAAATGTTGGTGTGTATCTGCCGAAGCCAGTGTTCAGCCATGGCCAACTTTATGTCGCTGTTTCTAGAGTTAGAACACCAGATGGACTTAGGTTCCTTATTATGAATGAAGATGGCGTGCCTTCCAACTGTACCCGAAATATTGTTTACCAGGAGGCATTCGTTGACCTTCAGACCCCATCTTCCTAACTAGAGGTAGTCCTTTCAATCTGGTACATTGAATCTTTTGTAGTTTGCTTGCTCAGCATCCTCCTGGAACTGCAAATGTATCTTCTAACGTTCATATTCGTTGCTGCCTTTATCTTTCACAGGTCTGGTGCGGATCTCTCGAACCAAAGAATCCCACGTTGCTGTTCGTTTTTGGGTTGTGGCCTCTATCTATCTATCTATAAGATATATAAAGGCAAAACAAGTGTTTCGTTTCCAGGGATTCAAAATTTCCAGTTCGCAGAGGGTTTGTCGGATGTGTACTTTAGGCAATCCACGTTTAAATAAACCTGTTGCGTTTCACCTCCAACACATTCTGCCGGTGGACCGGGACAGTTTTTAATATAGTCGGGCCGGCCTGTTGCCCCTGAAGTATCCGGCCCAAACTTTTTCCCCTTGACGTATCCGGCCCAAACTCTTCTCCCTTGACGTAGTTGGCCCAAAGACTGCTGGTTAAATGTTTCCATCGGAATCTGACGGAAACCATATTCAGCTGCCGCGATGCTATATTTTAGCTGGAAAGAAGGCCTTATTTCCTATGTGGCTCATGAAGTAATCGGGCCAGAGTTGTTTGCAAAACCCATGGCAAATGACTACACACAGCCGGGCTAATACATTCCAAATGCATCTAACTAAATTGGCCCTGTGGGGGGTTTTCCCTTTTGTTTGGGCGGCTTCCTAAATGGTCTGCCAGCGCGTTCCAACTCTAAACTCTAGAATACAATAATTTAAAAGGAATTTACTAAATAGCAAGGAATGTGACAGTTAACAAAGAACACAATTATATGATCCTCAAAATATGGTCACATGAAGGACCTCCGCAAAAGGATAATAACCTTTCAAAAAAAATTGCGTCCACATATTCATTACGCGGTTAGATAATTCGAAACTAAAGTGAGGTCGACCATTACTAACATTAATCCGATTATACTAATAATACCCTACGCTACTTAGTCTAAAATCGGGAACAGCTTAACCAAAAAGAGATTAAGACGATTCTCCACGTTGTTCCAAGGTCCGAATGTCAGCAAGGCACTATATGGGCCCTCACCAATCCTGTTGAGTAGTGGAATGTACTCCATATCTTCCATCTCATCAGGACCAACAGCAGCAGACATGACTCGCCGTAAGTAAGTTGATGGACATACGACCTCAATACCGGTGTAAAATCTTCAATTGTCAAGTGCAGCATGTATATGCCGGAGTCGGCATTCCAAGATCTCCTCACTTCTTTGACCCACCCATTCAAAATGTATGACTTGCCCTGGTACAATACAAAACAAAAGGAGTTCAAACAAGACCCCATTAGATGCAAATTCTTTAGAGAAAATATAGCTTCCGGCTAGATAAAAATATATGTTATCTGATTCACCTGATTAGCAACATCCAATTGCATAGGGATAAGTTCATCCGTTTCTATATGGTCCCAAATTCGTACGGCAACTTCATATCGCAAATTTGAAACGAAGTCTCCCATGGAAAAGAACCTATAATTTAAATGAGTAGCAATATTAGCAACTCTATCAACAAATGTTAGAGCTATACAACTAATCAACTAAATATGTAAACCCGAATGTGCACAAACAATAGCAACCCAATACATGAATGTGTCACTACAAGCATACAAAGTTTCCTTGGAGTATCGAACTAAAAAAAACAAACTATTCTGGATGATAACATTGTATTAGCTCTGGAGAAACCTAATTTGAAGGCCAGCAAACGAATGTAATTGATGAGTGGTCTGGAAAAAGTGGTAGAAGTTCTTGATGAGAGGAAAGGGGAGTTTTTGCCGAGGTAGGGTTTTAGAGATTACCTTGTAGAGATGCTGAGGTAGGACTAACGTCGATCAGGCAGAGAGAAGGCCTGGAAAATGATTGCATGCACTGGAATGGGTTCCCAGTTGCTTTGGTGGCCGGAGAGTGAGCAGAGCAGAAAAAAGCGTCAGGGAGAAAGGGAGGTGAAACGTCCTAGGATGGGTCTTTATGCGGTCAGATTTTAACACTTACCTCCTGGAAATGTAGAGATGGTACTACTATCGGTCAGTCAGGCAGCCCTGGATCATGAGTGCATGCAATAGCTTGGATGGCCTGTTTTTCTTCTCGGCGGCGAATAAACAGTACCGTCGTGCTTCGGTGGCGTTGTTGAAGTCCACGCGAGTGGTGACTGGACGCTAGGTTGTTCGACGAGGGAGAATGAGCGAAGCGTATGGGGATGGTCGGGGTTTGCGGCGGGAGCGGGAAGCAGGAGAAGCAGAAGATGGCGGGTTGGCGATGTGGATGGTCAGGTTTCTGTGGAGGGCCTGGAGGGTAGGTGAGAGCGATGGAGGAGGGAAAGGAAGAAGGGAGTTAAACCGTCTTCGGGTGGGTGGGAGGTTTTTATTGTTTAGCTTTATTTTAGTTTTTATATTTGTTTGATCGAAACGTGGACATGACTGTCCATTTGGTTTGAATTTTTTGGGTTTTAACCAAACACAACTCAATTGGAAAGCAAATTTTTCGTTTGGTTTTTTTTAAACCAATAAGCAACTTAATGGCTTTGGCTTGGTTAAAACTGAAAAACCAATAGAAACCATGAATAATACATTATTCATCCGCAAGGTTGTTTTTTTGAAAAAAAAAAAATGTTTTTCTTTTGCCACGCATACCAACCAATAATTTGTGCTGCCTATACAGATATGTGCTTGTCAAGTCATAATAAATAAATGAACACCTAACTCTTCTTTTTTATTCAATGATAGGAGTGATTAATTGCCTAACAAATTCGCTACTTCAAAATGGTATTCATTTATTTAAAAAAGCAGCCAACCCTAGCGATGCATTGTTAATTGATTCATGTTTATGAGGAAATGACAACCTAATTTCAACTCCTCCTCACAACCAACAACCCGCTACTAAAAGGGATCGTCTTAAGCAACATAGTCTTGCGACTCATTTGGTAGTACATTAAATCAATTTGAAGGTCTTACAACATCATACTAATTTCATCTGTGTATTTCACTTGCAGGAATACTCACCATTCAAGCACAAGTGCACATATTGATCGCTTGAGTTCCAAAAACCCTTTACTCTGAGAAAAACGTCATTGGGATGGATGTATTGCACTATCCCAATTAAATCTTCCCGTGTGTTAAATGTACATTACCGAAAGAGAATTCCCTGTTATTATAGTTTAATTGATCAATAAAAAACAAATGCTCAATGAAGTGGCAGAAATGTGGCACAGCCCATTTCACTCTCCCAAACTTTTATTGCCGGCAGTGTAATGGGAACAGTTCAGTTTAGGATATGTGTTTTTGTACACTTTTCTAAGGTAGATAGCTACATAAATGGACCCATTCTACATAACCAAGTGAAAAAGCTAATTCACATGGGCCTGTTAGACATGACGGTCCATCTATAGCCCACAACAAGAACTCATACGTCAATGTCGTTTCCCCTAATCAACAGTGGAGGAGGTTTCGGCCCACATGGTTTTTGTTTGGTCCTTAGACACTGACAGTCGTTTTTACTCAGCCTGAACAACCACCTACTTCCTTTCGTGTATAAAGAACCTGGATTTCTAATTCAATAAGTGCTATGCAAACTTCAGTTCGCCTGAACTTTATTTCCATCCTGCGCTGCATCGTCAACTCGACGCAAACGGTTTGTACTTATCTCTCTTTTACTTGCAGTTTGGTATACCATGCATAGTGTTCCGCTTTGATTGTCTGATCTCATTATCCTTGTGATTGGGGGAAACATCGCCGCATGTGAATTTAGGGTTTGCCTTGAAATCCCGACATTCCTTGGCCTCTCAGTTCACCGCAGTTTATGCTCTCTGTCGCCTGGACCAAAGTTTCACACAATTCAATGGACCTCAATTGTACCCTACGAAGTTCCCCAGAAGGTTGGATTCCTCACACTCTAATCATTTACATGTCGGCACTGTTATTTATACAGGGGGGGGAAAACAATCGCCCAGTTCTTTTATTTTCCAGTGCATGGATACGGTCGTTGCTGTTGCTGTCAGTAGTTGAATGCCGTGTACTTCCTTTTTGAAATTTCAGACCTAATCAGTACGTCAACTACAGTTTGGGACCTCAAAGGAAAAATGGTATCTGGTCACATTGTACTGCGCTTGATTCATATCTGGCTATCTGATGAATACATGGGAACGGAGAGCAACCAATTCATGTATACTTTATGGGTTGATGTGGAGGTTGGCATATTCGATTTTCGAGTTGATTCCATGTTACTTATTATGCCAAACTGATACTCATTATATGGTTCTATTCTTTCATAGGAATCTTTAATTGAGGGAGTCACCGACAGAATTGATATGGCTAATATCGAACCGCTTCTCGAGGTGGGCCTGCTCTACGCACTGGATGAAGTACCCCTAACCGTGGCAAGAAGTACTCTAAGAACTGCAACTGGTAATTTACGCCTTTGCCTTCGGACAGGACTATCATGCAGGAAACTCGATGAAAATCAAATCAAGAAGCGGTTCCCGGTTGATGGATTTAAGAACACAGAATTTGAAGAACTTTACGGGATGGCCTTGGACCCAACGAACTTGGCAGGTAAGGTTTGCCTCGTGATCAATTTTTCCTCCAAATATTGTTCTGATGCTAGGGTCCTTGAACGTTTCCAGATCTCACAGGTCGTGTTTTAGCGATATCAGAACCAGTATACAATAGTGATAGCACTACCTTCATGATGATCCAAATAGAAAACACCAGGTTAATGTTTATAGTCCTTCCTTTTACATTCGAACTTGTGAGAACTACACTAACACTCTCTGCATTCTATCAGGAAGCAAACTGTTGTGATCAATTACACTGCTCCCTACGATGATTTCTACTATTGGGCTGAAGCCGCTGAACTCAAATATCCGGTGGTCGCGACCTTCACGAGCATTTTTGTTGCTCAGCCTGAACCGAGATGTGCGCCTCTTAATCTCTCTATTCGTTGTTATGCCTTTTACACAAATCTGTGCTGAAA